AAGCGAAGCTGGCTATTATGTGGCTAATGCTGCCAGAGTTCGCTTTCAGTTGCTTGCCTTTTGCAAGAAACACAGACTTGAACCCAAAAAGAAAGAAGAAAAAAATCAAAAAAAAAAAGGAAGCAGGCCTCTACGGTAGGCTACCAGCCGGGCCGCCCGGGTCGCCAGCCCGTGCAAGGACCAGGGAAACAAACAAAATATCTATTAAACAATCCGAAAAAAAAACTATGTTATGCATAAAAATAAACTGAACACTTTTTGCCTCAGGGTCACATCGAAATTCTTCACCAAATTTAGAATAACAAAAATCAAACTGATAAATAATGTTTTTTTTTTTTTTTTTTTTGGGCCCGGCCGGGCAAGTGACCCCGGGCCACTCTGGTAGGCTAGCTTCTACACAAAAAACAAAAAAAGCGAGCTTCAACCCAGAGCTCCTCGGCACAAAGAGGAGCAGCAGATTGTTCATCCCTGATACTACTACCATTCCTAGCAGGATAGAACACCCGGGGCTAGGTCCCACTTGCACGAATTAAGCGAGATTGACCGTAGATAACAAAGATCAACGGCCAGATTCTCGTAATCCGTGCAAGTGGGACCTTGCCCCCGGTCAATATGCACGTATTTGGTTCGACTTCGAGTCCAGAAACAGCCATAATGACGCGGCACTGTAGTGAACCCTTGGAAACAGTTAGATCTCTCCAAGCATCCATGAGGCATTTGTCTCGAAATCCTGTTCAGCAGTTTTTCATAACTCAGTCATCACTGTCACAAATGATCTGGGAACTTGTGGGAAGTAGTCTGTTTTTTTTTCTTTTTTCTTTTTTTTAATGTCTCTCGGAAGGTGACTCGTCTACTAAAATCCTGCCACATCCAAAAGCTTTGCAATCAACAGCACATGGTACCAGCTTGTAGAGAGGACTTGAAGGGCTTCTATTGCTATCTGCCTGGTTGGAGATGTACACATGTTTAATATGGTCCACGTTCTTCACCTGCTTTCAAGGGCCACCATCATGATGTGTGTTCACACACAGACGCACACAATCACTGCACCCAAAGGATGCTTAACACACATATATGCATATATTAGAGAGTGACTTCTAGGAGGGCCGGGGGAGGTGTGTGTGTGTGTGTGTGTGTGTGTGTGTGTGTGTGTGTGTGTGTGTGTGTGTGTCATGTGTGTGTCATGTGTGTTTGTGTGTGTGTGTGTGTGTGTGTGTGTCATTGTGTGTGTGTGTGTGTGTGTGTGTAAAAGTGTCTAGGCGGGGCGTATTTCCTGATTGAAACAGCAATCAATGCTGCCTCAGTGTCGCTTGAGGATTGAGGATGGTTTTGAACAAGAGGTTGGGTGGGTTTGTATGGGATGCCGCACCTGGATTTCATCTCAGCAGCCGCCGTCGGAGTCCTCGGATTTGCAAAGGATAAAGACATAGCAGATTGAAGGAGCTGTATTGGCCCTATGGTATAGATCCGTTGATTGCGGGGAGACTAGGCCCCGTCATCAGCCGGCGTGTGACCTCTCAGTCTGTCTGGAGAGCAACGTTTTTGGCAGGGACTTGACTTTCATCTAAACGTTTTTGAACTTGGATGATTTCTATGGAGCCCTGGAGGCCATGTTGTGCATTTTGACTTCGATATGCTGGTTTTCCTTACAGATAGATGCGGATTAAGGTGGGTGGGACAGTTTGTTTAAAACAGAAAAGAAGAAGGGGCCACTACGTTGATGTCAACCTTAAGTTTCTATGCGAAGAAGAGAGCCACTGAGTTTGAAAATGCAATGAAAGTACCTCCGCCGTGGCATCAGGTCGGGTGCCATGGCTACAGGGGTCGGCCGTGGTGTCAGACAGGGAAAGGTAAAGAAAAACAAAACGCTCAACGGATTGTTTCCCCCCCGGAACTGCATTTTCTAACTCGGCGGCTCTTTTCTTTGCTGGCGCAAGTTTTTTAATAACCTTAACCTTTGCAAACTTCTTTTAACTGACATTTCGTTAAAACTGGCATTTTTTTTTCGGGGGGGGCAACACGGCTCCTGGGTCACACCTAGCGCTTGGAATAGGCAACAGACTAACAGTTACTTTAGCAGTTCTCGAAAAGAACAGAGCAAATTACAGAAAACCAGCTGCTAAATCTGCATTACCGCCGCTTCAAAATAACAGCTACAGTTTCAACCCCCAGCTAAACTAACTTGCACATTCTGAAACTCAAACGATGACACGGGTGCCACTTTGTCTTTTCTTGCCTTTTTCAAATTAAAAAGGTGACTCAGGAGCAGTTTCCCTTTTTTTTTTTTTTTTTTTTTTCCAAACATGCAAACTCATAACCTGCCACGCCCGTACCAGGCGTACCTGTTTCAAAGAAGAACCAACAAGGCAAGATGGGGACCCCAAGACGCAGGGCGGAATATCAGCTACCCACACCAATGCATGTGGAAACAGTGGAAAACTTTGCAGACTGTAGGGTCACACGCCCCTCAAGAGTAAGGTAGCCAGGAATGTATGTCACTACAAGGAAACACAGCCATCACAAGCACTGCCAGACGTTATGATCCTGCCGGGACCTCCCCAATTCTTCATGCAAAACAGTTACTCAAGTTTGAGAGAATTCCATTCATTGCAGCAGACTGAGTTCAAGAAGACGTGGATTAGAGAAGGAAAAGAAGAAGAAGAAGAAGAAGAAGAAGAAGAAGCAGAAGCAGAAGCAGAAGAAGAAGAGCACAAAATAAAAGCAATGTCTACTCCCCTCTTCTTCACAGCCTCCTCATCGGGAGTCATAGCCCGTCAGATACATTCTGCACTGCCTTTTTATTATTATGATTTATCTTAATGGGATAGCATTAATGGGAAACAATTGTGTCCAACGATCCCCTCACTTGCAGTGCAGAAATATATCCCCAGTAGAACTCCTCTATTATAACAACGATGAATGAATGAAAAGAAATCCATGGGTTTTAGACAGCCGGGGACGCAGCCTGAGGTTGAAGGCTTGACAGACTCAGTCAGAGGCCTTGGCAATGCTACCCCTGACTTTTCTCGTTCATTTGGTTCTTTCCCTGGTCTGCAGTTACCCTGCTGATTTTTTCACCCCTTCTGGACCATCCTCGTACGCTCCTACTGCCCCCTTCGCCCCCCCTCCTCCCTCCCCAAAACATCTTTTCCAGTCCAAATCTTTTGTCTGTCAGAACCGTTTTCTCGATGCTTGCCGGTAATAAGGAACTGGGCTCTAGCCCCCAGAAAAGATTGGGCATGTAAGGATCTCTCTCTCTCTCTCTCTCTCTCTCTCTCTCTCTCTCTGAGCTTATAGCTATCATGTGGGGTCATCACTGACAAGCACAGATGTAGCAGTTCAAGGACAACACGGCTACTATGCTTCGCCCTCCTACGGCCATCATTGAATGTCTCACGGTTTTCTAAGTTCCGCAGGCACCCCTCCAGGGACCACCTCGGTCCAACGCCAACCAGGTAATGAAGATGAAGGTCTACCATAGCCAAAAGTAAGTCTCCTCTCGGTTCCCCCCTTCTTCGCCCACTACAACCTTCCACCTATCTCCTGAGCCCAGCCTCACCCTCCTCTACTCCATAGCCACGGATCTCTCCTCAGTTGACCTCTACTGCTGCTTCACACAGGAGCGCCACCTCTTCACCATCTTGGTCGAAAAGAAGCATCACTGCTGTGTGAATGGCCCGGACTACTCATTAGGCTGGAGGACATACACTTGCCCTCTCAATCTCAGGTCCCTCCACCGACAGGTAGCCCCGACTGGCACACTTGGGCCTACGAGTTCCTGCCGAAGACAGGAACATCATTCATCTATAATCCTGCTTACAGACCCCGAATCTAGGCATCCCATACGACCAAATACAGTGACTGTCCTGGCACCATAATTACCTACTGCTATTAGAGGGGCTGTCCGAGTGTCATCTGTCTAGTATCCCACCTCTACAACAACCTGGGCTTAAATAAATGAAAAACTGCCTACCGGGGGCCAAGTCCCACTTACATTGACTGCTCATTTCCGGCCGTCGATAGTGGCAATCTATGGTCAGAAATTGATAATTCGGGTAAGGGGGACAGACATAATTCGGGATAGTCCCACTTACATAACAGCGGGTCCCTGACAAGCTCCGCTTCTACAGCTAGACCTCCTAAAATTTCCGGTGAGTGCTCCTGTCGCCAAATATTAGGTCTGCCCCTGTACCCAAATATTAGGTCTGCCCCTGTACCGACACCTATATGCTAGCCCATCCCTGTCCGAGGCATAGGAACACAACAGTGTTCGCAGAAAATTGCAGATTGCTCAATCTGTAACCTTGTGGACCTTTCCGCACACCTGGTCCAGCTCCCTGAAAGTGCCGAAGGCAATTCCATCGAGTACTGGAAAACGATCCAAAAGAAATGTCTTCAGGTGGGTTGTTGGACACGGATAAACCTTAACAGAGATATCGGTGAGGAAAAAGAAAACACAACAAAGACTGAGTGCGTGCTATAACATTACCTCTGGTAAACAGTGAACAAATAAACAGACTGAGCAGTGAGTACGACTCGGTGTGTGCGTGGGAGGGTGGACCGGGGGGCCGGGGGGCGTTGCCAGGGGGGTGGGACGAAGAGCGGGGAGTCCCGGAGGAGGGAGTTGGGGAGGGGGGGCAGGGGGGCGGGAGTGAGGGAGGCAGCGCAGGCAAAAAGGCAACACGCAGCACCAACACAACAGCGAACACTCCCACACGTACAGCAAGGATCATGGAGGCCAATCGACTACTCACACCCTACGGAAAGATTTGCAGCCCATAGGCTCACAAAACCTTGACTAGACAAGGAGCCATGAGACGGATGTATTTCACTTCAGACATGCATACCCAACACACCAGTCGGAGGCTTCTAAGACTACTGCCAAAGGCGCCGAAGGTGTCTCCAAAGTTCTTACTCCCTTGAGCTACCGTCCGGCATCCCATTCTAAATCAACCCGGTTGATCTTTCCCCTCCGGAAATAGTGTTTGCCTCCTCAACAAGAGACTCCATTCGCCCCACCACACCACTCATCCTAGGTCTCAGCCTGTCATCATCTTCCACACACTCCATCGCAAGATAAGTTGTCATCATCTTCCACACACTCCATCGCAAGATAAGTTATCTTCACAACCACATCCCCTAAGGAATTGACTTCCATTGGATAGCCCTTGCACAATGCCACATCCAAGATAGCATGGGGCAAGTCCACGGAGGGGTCTCCAAGAAATCGCTTCACCCAGGACACGAGAGTCTCCGCACCTGTCCCAGAAGGGGACGGCATGACAACCCTTCTTCCAGTCAAAAGCTCCAAGCGGATGACACCGAAGGCATACACGTCATTGCGGTCAGTCAAGAAGCCTTCCAGGAAGTACTCCGGGGACATATACCCATAGGTACCGGCAACATGAGAGGTTTGTACAAAGACCTCATGGGTGGTGCCGAACACTATCTCTCCTATGGCTGCAAGACCAAAATCTGCTAGCACCGCACGAACACCTTCCTCCTCACAGTCATCCAGTGGCGTGCACCTTCGTGTAGGTAGCTTAGGCCCTTGGCAATCTGAGAAGCGACCCGAATGCGCTCCAGAAGAGTCAGCGGAGCGTATAGCAACTGTGTGCTAGCGTCCACCACTCGTTCGTGCAACCTGGCATGCAAGCTGCCACCAGGAAAGTAAGGGTACACCAGAATGGCCCGATCACTTGAATGGCAGTAGCCAATCAATTGGATGAGGTTGGCATGATGGACCCTGCTAAGTGTGTTGATTTCTGCAAGAAACTGCCTTCGCTTCATGTCTGTAAGTTTTCCGATCATGACTTTCATCGCCACCTCCATCCCATCCACCACACCCCGGTACACGCGACCGAATGCTCCGGTTTCACCAACCTTATGGCTGCTGCTAAAATTGTCTGTGCACTGCTCGAGGTCCTGCAAACTGAATAATGTCAGTTGGGATGGATGAATCTCCTCCCCACTGCCACAGTTCGATGCTTCAGGCAGACCTTCGCTCATATCCACGTCTACATGCGAACTTGAACGTGTTTCTTGGGACTCCGTGCTCCTTAACGGCCGCTCGCTCTGCACCTGTTTCTTCCCCCTCCAGATGTAAACAACGACAATGGCCATCAACAGCAATAAGAAGAGAATTGTGGCCGACACGGCTGCAGCAGCTATGGCAATCATATGATCATTGTGTCTGCGATTATAAACTGGAGGAGGTGAGGATGAGGGAGGAGGGACATTTGCACAGGAAAGTAGCAGAGACCTGTTGAGTTGAAGCTCGATGATATCACCATCTGATGTTCCCACGTACAAGTAGAGGTCAACACCATCATCATGGAGCGCCAGGCCCCAGAATCCGGAAGCGTCACTTCTGAAAATGGTCTCCACTGTGTCGGCTCTTGCACATGGGGTGCTGAGCTTGATCCAGCGAACATTACCTGGAGGACCATCCTCCGTTACGAACAGATGGCACCCCTCGGCAGTGGTCACGACATCGCGAAGCTGCCTAAATGACACGTCAGGGACAGACCCATCAAAAGTTGTTTCTCTTCCAGACCCAGCGACAGGCACCAGCCTCGACGGGTGAGTCGGATTCACCTTCGGCACGTCCGGTGCAATTATGCTCCACACACGGGGGAATTTCCTGTCGGTAAAATAGACGCAACTTCCATCTGCGAAAGAGCTCTGCCTCAAGAAGTGGACGCTACTTATAGATCGCACTCCCGCATCATCAGTGAAGTGGTCGTCCATCTTGAAAATAGTCGAGTTATCGATAAGAGTGTCGTCATCCGTAGTGTTCGCTGAAAGAAGTCGGATCTTAGGAGGTGTGACAGCACTGACAGGTGTCTCATCGGTGATGTATAGTTTCGTCCTTGCCGGATTGGATGCCAGACTCATTAACTGACCACTATCCGTGAGGACTGTTGAGCGATTACCCATGGTTGTAGACACCACCGTAACTCGTGACTTCACTTTACCTTCCGGGTCATATGAGCCAAGCTCGGAGATCTCGAAGGGAGTGAACATGTACATTGGTGTCCTGCTGATGTTCGTGTAGTTGTAGGACACGGGATATGAAACCCTCGGGCCATCTGGTCCAGAAACGGGGAACCAGTAAGTAATGAGCTCATCAGCGATACTCAAGTGTTCCCCAACCGACCGTATATCAGCCTTCCGCTCTGACATTCGCACAACTTTGTCTGTTCCGTCACTTCCGTGGTCGCAAGATTCTGAAACACCATAGTAGAGAGAGACAGCTCCATCTTCATCCTCCCAAACCTGGATACTGAAGATGTACGAACTACAGATACGCCCAGTGTTCGGGTCATCACGGAAAGGGGCTTCGGGCTCAATATGCACCACAAGTTGGCTCCTTTTCACAAGGGCATTGTTCAGTATTGAGAAGGTAACCCCGAGACCGAGAGACTGTTCCCTAACCGTTCTCTGTTCTGGTCGTGAACCTACCCCTACGTCATCAGCACTGTCATGAGAAACTTGCCGTTCAACAAGCTGGGGCCCATGGGAGGATGTCGGTTCGACTCGAGATCGAATAACCTCCCTGTCGACAACCATCGCCACAGCACTGATGGTGCAAGTATTGAAGCAGTCCAAAGCCATCATCGTTAGCAAGCAAAAGCAGGCAAGGACAGCCTTTTGCTTGGCAAGTTGTATGACTGTCATACACTTGGGGAAGAGGAAAACAGTGGAGCCTGTGGAGGCATGCCGACCATTGTCTACATGAGTACAACAAATATTTGGACTACCTGCTTCCGAGTGCATCTGAGGAACAACGACATCCCCATCCTCAACTTCATCGTAGAGCTCCTGTACGCCATTACCATCACTACTATCATCTCCGGCCATCATCCTGTGAGCAGTGTCTCATTTACCAGTGCAGTTGTTAGGACTCCTTCCCTAAAGCAAGCGGTTGGAGAACTTGGAGAGATTAAATGGGTGGAGAAATCACTGCTGCAGTAACATATCAGTCCCGAACAGACGAATACTAGATAAACAGATGAAAAGGAAAAGAGGAACAAGAGGAGGAGCAAGAAGAGTAATGCATTGAATAATCGATAGCTGAGTGCAAATCGGCCTGTACTTAGATTGAAAAGATTCTCAAAATAATCCACACTATGTCATATTGAAAGGGTGCAAACTTCCCAAAGCGCAGTCAACAAGGAGCACTGATCTGGTGATGACCTGGCATGCACCTTTCGAATACCTAACCCGTGGCTGCCATCATCAGAGGTTCGCGGGAGAGACTCGGAGAAAGTGGTCTGTGTCTAAGAACTAGTAAAAACTCGTCATCATCACGAGGAAGACAGTACTCATTATCATCACATCCTTGTTGACCGCATAGTCTGCTCAAAGGAGCACACCATCTTCGATTGAAGAAGACTAGTCTAAGAGTATTTGTACCATGGTTACCCGCATTTTTCACCTGTCGGCTTTGCGTCGGACTCCGTCAGTAGGTGTACCATTCACCTTGAAATTCCCCATCTACATGCCAGGTTCTTTCATACAAACAGCCTCTGTGTTATCATCCTCTCAGTCCAATGGTTTCCCCATCCATGTATTTTCTATGCTTGATTGGAACAATGTATGTCTCACATTGCTAGTGTAAACTGTGGAATCTACATCTACACACAAAGTTAACTAGCCTTGATAGTCCTACAGTACGCTTTACCGCAGAAGAGCCAGCCCACTTGCAGCACAGTGTCACCAACTTCATGCCTACCCCTCTTCTGCTACCAGTCATTGGGCAAACAACAGCAACAGAACCAGGAAATGTCAGAAAAACCAATGCATTCGTGAGCATTTATCTCAACTTTTCAAGGAAAAGCAATCTGCAGCAACCTGAAAACAGACGAAGCCACTACCTATGCTCATTGCTCCCAAACGCAAGCTACAACTTTTCATCACCTTTAGTGCTGAGTTATAGATCCAGGCCCCCAGGGAACCATAACTGCCCCTATTTTTCAGTATAAGGCAAAAAGAAAGTTTCTCAAAGTAACATCCTACCTATCTTCTGTACCAAAGAAGTTCACAAAGCATCATGAAACGGAGCCCCTCTATAACACAGTTGCTTTTCCCAGTTTCAAAAGTTGCAACACCGAAGCTCTCTCTCTCTCTCTCTCTCTCTCTCTCTCTCTCTCTCTCTCTCTCTCTCTCTCTCTCTCTCTC